ATATTTATAAGAAATATTGAAATTATATATATTATAAGAAAAGATAGTATTGTTTATCCAAATTTTACATATATATATATATCGATTTCTTGCTGAATTTCTTCAACAGCTAGTGAGCTCGTCTTTGAAATAGCCTGAGCAGAGCAAAGCCTTTCACTGCGAGTGCGTATATTACTACTTAGCAAGCTAAACTGAACGTAAAATCGGTATTGTCCTCCCTTACAAATTACTCCAATTCGCATACGTACAATTCGTTTAACTGTTTATGCGTTATAACATGAACACGCGTCGAACAGGATGGCGTTTCGCGGCTCGCGGCAACTACCAACCGATTTACTTAAACGATCTCATCGATTTTAATACTGATGTACGTTCGAAAGCTTTCGAACGCGCAGCTCGATTGTTCAATTCCTCCGTTCGATGTTGAGCAGCGATCCGCGAAACGCCATAACGTCCAGTCACAGGCATTTCGTTTTTTTCGCTTTCGCTGTATTACACCTTAGCATTAACGAGTAATTCTCCTGAAAGTTCCGCATGTTGCAGGTTTATTTCACGCGATTTGAATTCTTCTTTCTTACTCGGATGAATCGGAATCTGACTCCGCGCCAGCGTCTGACGCCTCACCTTGCGTCTCCGGCGTCGTTTCAGGGATTTTCCTCGAGTACGTCGCCGACACATATGCACCTGGACCTTCTCCTTGCGTATGCTCGATCCCAACTCTGATACACGTATGTCAATAATTATTTATATAGTCTTTTTTTTTTTTTCATTTTTGAATGAAAGACGTGATCATCATTACCTGTACTCGTGTCGCGACAGATTCCTCACGTATTTCTCCGGTGGGTTGTCGCCGTCGTGGTTCTGGAAACTCACACTCCTTGCCGTCGTATGCGACACCTGGGTAGCTGGCATTGTGAACTCCACGTAACAGTACTCGGCTAGATTTTCCGGGATCTGATCGTAGGATGTTAGGGCCATTCGACAGATCAACTGGTGCGTCGTGTATGCTCCTGCCAGTTATTATTATTTATGTAGTATTTTGTAGCCACTATTCTATACATTTATGTTCAACACCGTTGGCAACAAATTAGTTGGCGTTAAAATAGGCAATCAAAATGTAGAATGGAAATTCGAAAAATAGTTTTATAATATGGTATATAATATTATATATAACACTATATATTTTGTATTATAATAGTTATTATATCATATATTATATCATACAATAATATATAATATAATATATTATAAAACTATTTTATATCACAATATTTTATAATATAATATATTACAAAACTATTTTGTTATAATAGTTTTATAATATACTACAATATATAATATATTATTATAATAT